TTTCTGATACATGCCCATCAACTCAAGTTTAAGCGTTCTGTCATTTATCATTGGGTCTCAGAAAAAGTTTCCCTCTGCTAGTATCTCAATTGCCTCTACATTTTGAGAAAATTGATAATTATTTAGATTATTGCCCGTCTTTATGTTTATTTAACTAAGAAGTTGCATCGAATTTGCATTTTTTACAGTTTGTATACTGTATGTGTCAACTGCTGATACCATGGCTCTATAACAACCAGAGAAAACTGTATTCCAAGGTTATATTATTTATTTCTTTTATCCAAGTTAACTCATAGTTCTCACTATACGGCTCCCCGGCGTTTAAAATGCCTGCCATAATTTGAACAATATAACAGAGTTTTTATAATTAACTGTAAAAACAACGCATGTTCTAGTTTATCAGTCGGCTGAAAAATCTTATGTCATATTTCTCCGTTTAACGTGCTAAAGGTAACAGGCATGCAGGATAATGATACATCATATTTTGAAAGAAATTATATGTTTTTCTGGGGGCGAGTGAAAAATCTGTTAAAATATGATTAAAAAACGAAATAATCATCAGTCCAATTTTGATGCAGGTACATGTAACACGTTCATGCCATTGATGTTAGCCCTAACCTTTCAAATCCGACACAAATGTAGGTGTCAGCTTCTTCATTTTTTAATTTATTCCATACATGCACATATGGAGGTTTGGCTCTCAATCTCGGGCACATGCCCGTGTATTTTGTCGCATTTAGCATAATATCATTTCTACTATTGCTCTACGCTTTTTAAAATAATATTTTCCTCTTCCTGGTCAAAGAAAAAACTATTATTGACCTTCTTTAATTGGTCACTTTTATTTTTTAATCTGTAAAAGTGGATTTCTTTTCCATATATCATACGCCATATTCAAATGAATATAACATGAAGACGTCATCTGTTAAACTTTATTTTTTCCTTATTTTTTATTTATTTATTTTTTTCAATTACTAAGACCCAAATAACCAATCAGATTTGGCCAGATACATCTACCGTGGGTGTGCGTGTGTGTTATATATGCAGTACGCTTGCATCTAGTTAGACGTTTTGCCTGAAATTTTTGATTACAACTATTATGGGAGCCATGCAGGCTTATATACAGGTAGTTGTCATTTTAATGACGGTGTTTGGTCAATGCAAGAGCCAAGTCGCTGCGCGGGGTGAGTATCATGTCTTTCATGTTGCAAAGCAGAAATCGGATTTTGATTACCATAATTGTAACATAACACTATTTAATTGACATGTAAGATAGAGTGCTGTGGGCATTTTTCAATAAGATTTACATTTTGTATATTGGGCTTGCTTAAGAAAAATCCTTTTCTACTCGGGAAGGAAGGGTAAGGAATTTAGTGCATGGTTATGGGGGATAGAATGGCGGTCCAAAAAGGTTATTGTGTACCTTGCTGATAAGGGGAAAAAAATTGTGAAATTTCCTGGATTTTCTAGGTATCACATGCATTTTCTTTAACTTTAATTCGTTTACTTGATAATATTCACACATTAAAAATACATCCAGGAGATACAAACGTTTACTAAAATTTGTTTTCTGAAATTAAATTTGTTTCAACAGACGAGATACGCGCAGCGTTGGATAAAACAGCTTCATAATTTTATGTTCATTGCTTCACGTTCATGTTTTTTTTTACCACAGATAACTGTACAATTTGTGGGGACCCGCACATCGTAACCTTTGATGAGGAGGAACTGACTGCTAATTTGCTGCCCGGTGGGAGCCACATTCTCGCTAAAGACAACTTCAATACCCCATGGCGCTGGCAAGTAAAAGGTCAAACAGAGTTGCACAACGGCGGGCCAAGATCGACGCTTATTTCAGTATCTTTTTATTGCATTTCATCGAATGGAACCCAGCTTGTATTCACATCTGACATGACAGATACGGATCCAAAAGATGTAAATCTAGTAAGTAGACTTTATTTTCCCAAAATGAATAAATGTACATTGTATAGGTATAAAAAACCGAATGAAAAAAAGTAAGAAAGAAAAAAATGTACTCAGTCTCGTTGATGTAATGGCATTTTGGGTGTTACTTTTCTTTTCTTTTCCAACGTAATCGTTAGTCTAAGGTAAATCAATCTTTTAATATTTATTTAAGGTACAAATCTCCGGCTGCATAGCTTGCTCTACTTGATGTGTGAACTTGTGATGCTTTTAAAACTATTTTCAGTTAATGTTTGGCTATTTATACATTCAGAGTGTAGGTGGAGCTACATCAGTTCTGTTGGCCATCCCATGGAAATCTGGACCCGGACCCAACCCTGCTGCGGAGGTGGCGCTTTTTCCTGGTCATCCCCAAACCGTAATCGTTCACTGCAATGATGAGGGAGTGAGCGTACGAATTGGTCCTGGTCGCTGTGTGACTATAATCGTTGACGAACCGAGGTGGATCTCTAGGACATATGGCGTATGTGGGGACAACGACGGCAATCAATGGTGAAAAGGCAGGTAAAGAAGAAGCAACCGATATCTTATTACGTTAGCGTTTAGTTGATTTTATTTCAGATTCAACTGGAGTTATTGAAATATTAGTTATGTGGTAATTCTTGGGACTAATTATCTAATAAATTAGAAACAGTAGAAAATATTTGCAGGTTTGGGTTTGTAACCGGTTTGCTTGTACCAACATATATAAGGGTCTGGAGGTAAACTCTTAGATGAACTGTCATCAGATCAAAACAACCAATTCTTATTTTTAGAAAATAGATACCGCTGGTTACCATGTAGCTGAGCGGTCTTGATCAAACCCTTTTTTCAAATAAATGAATAAAAATATCAAATTAAATTTAAATATATATGTATATAAACGCAATATATATTTTTCACTAGTGCTTTTCGTTTTTTCACAGTTACTCCCTCCCGCGAACTGAAAACCCGACGTGGACAGATTCAAGAATCACGGACGGCAACAACGGACTGAAACTGAATTAAACCTCTAACGGAACCGGACAGCGATCATTCACTTATAGCAGAAGACAAAGGGCGGCAGCTATCTTTTTATTTGTCGTTTTCTCATTCATTTTCAATTATTGTGCACAGAGCAGACTTTCGGCACATTTGATAAACGGTAAAGTTCTAATAAGATGAAGTTGTTTTCATATGTTTCCTGTCCAACTATTTAACTGTGTGTATAAGCATTTATCTGTGTTTCGTGTTGGGCGTGTTAATCGGGTTGATGCACCCATTAGAGTCTGTAATAAGTTTACCTGACTTATGTTAAATCACAATGGAAGCAAACAGACTGAACTGATATCCAAGAAAACGCTTACAAAATCTGGGAGGTTCTATTATTATTATAATATGCTTAAATCATTTTAATTTCTTTTTTTTTTTTTTTGATTGCTTTAGCTTTGGATAAACACTTTAAGGATAAATGTTGTGTTTGTTTCTCTACAACTTCTTGGTTTGTTCGTACACTAATGTTCCAGAAAGGGCTTAACATTATCTACTTACAGTATCAACCGGCTTTATTAATAAGCAGTTTGAGGATTTTAATTTTATAAAGAGGTGGCCTAAAGATGCTCCCTAAAAGGAAATAAAGCATATTTTAAGGTTGATAACAACAACAACAACAACAACAATAATAATAATAATCACTCATTCTCCATATAAAATTCCATTTGAAGAAAACAGAAGGTGAAAAAGGAAGTTAAAGATATTAAAAAATCTTTCTTTTTCTAAATCTTTGGTGACAGAAATTTAATCTTTGGTGACAGAAATTTAAGTGATATAGACCTATCTAGCTTTTTGTGTAAATCATGAAAATGCCTTGCTAGTATGGGGAAATGTTTGTATTTAGCAACGAAGGTTTCAGCTGTTTTAGTAACGAAAGATTCTATATAACAACCTTTTTGATAATATTCGCACGTTATTAATGTTGACAAAAATTAGACTGTGCTAAATAGGGGTATGCCTATTACAAGATGCGCGTTTATTTTACTGACGCATTTCGTCCTCAACCTCAAGTTTATTTTTTCACAATGCCTGGTAAGGAAGGTTTTGCAAATTACTTTCTAAGAGAATTCAGCTTTACCGTGTTTCGTGTAAAACATTTATCTGTGCCCTGTAGCCATATCATCTAGTTTCTCATGGCGGTAACTAAATTGGAGACGTTTATAATGGCTAAAATGTTACATGATTACCAAACAACTGAATATGATGGCCTGCACCAAAAGACGTAGCGAAGGTTTTTTCAGTTTTCAACCCGGCGATACCGCGAAAGTAGACGCCAGCTGTTTATTGAGTTATTTAATGAAAATAAACATTTTGAACATTTTCTGAGACGTAACAAATCAAACTCACTTCATGACAAGTTGCAATTTTCTACTTTAGTAAAAATAAACTAGATCGATTGGAGAACGTGAGATGGTGCTGCAAGCGACAGTAACAAAAGTTTAAAATTTAGTCCGTTTTCTTACAATGGAGTTAAATGTTGAGAGTGTGTGTCCAGTTACGTTAAGGGACCGGGGGTACTGGTAGGCCTTAAGTGCACGAAGGATCTTTTCTGTGACGAACCAATGATTTGTCGTTGTTTTTTTAACATACCCCCCCCCCCCCCCCGGAACTGAATTCCAACTCCTGTTTTCTCACAGGGTTGCATTTTAGGCCTTTTAGTCGGCCATTCTATGAATGTTCAATTTTTCAAAAAATTAGAATTGAAATTGATCTTTTATCGTAGATTTTATATTAACAGCGGCTTTTGGGGTTTTGATCTCTTTAAGCAATAAAAAGTTGTTGAGGAACCAAAGAAAAATTAATTCATTGTTCATTGTATTTCTTCACGCAAAAATCCAATATAAAGGTCAGTTTAATCAAGGAGTTATAACAGATCTGTTATAACTCCTTGGTTTAATTAATGGGATTCGTGAGAACAAAAGAAAAAGAAAATGCGCCTGTCAATCAAACACGTCGGACACGCCAAGGGCGGAGTTATGATAAGTAGAAGAAATAGGTCAGGGTCAGTGTGTCGTGAGATAGCCAACAACACTGATAGGACTGTGCGAGAGTCTGAGACTGCAACAGGACAAGCAGAAAGTTCCCCAGTCGACCCTCTGACCTGGTCAACCATAAAGATGGACTGTGATAGCGATGAACTGGTGTTCTTTGTTAATGGCAAGAAGGTAAGTCACCTCAGAGCGTTGATTTTATCGTTGCACTTTCTCAAGTTTATTTGAACTCCTTCTTACCTAATACTACTACGACACTGTACTACATGTAGTATAGCCTATGCACCGCAAGGGACAGGGAAGGCTCTCATGTTAACAATGTGCCCTTTAAGACGTACAAGACTTCAAATCAAGTTCCCTGATGTTATGTAAGCCACAGCTCAACATTTAATACTGTACTATTATTATTTTACGACCAAATATTAGTAAAATTTGCGTAGCTATAGCAAATCAAGAAAAACTTTTTTGGTGTGTTTGCCGTGGGACTCAAGCACGAAAATTCATGCGTAAGCACTCCTGTTAGGCTAAGCACAGACAGTACATATCAGAATCGTCAATAGGAGTGCTAACGCATGAATTTTCGTGCTAGTGGGACTCCTGTGGTTACATATATAATATACGTGGTGGTTTGGGGGTGGGTGGGGAATTGCTTTGCTGTTGCCTTGCCTCTGCACTGTCATGTAGGCTATTTGATAACCTTAATGGCCTATTTGTGTTTGTATTGGCCAAATCATAGATTGTTATTGGGGTGCATAGATCATTGAGCACTCTGACCAAACGACAATATTTATGTACAGTATGTATACAAATATATATTTGACTTGATTAAATGTATTAACCTCTGTTTTTTTAGGTAGTGGAAAAGAATGCAGACCCAGAAACAACCTTGCTCCATTACTTGAGAACTAAGTGTATCCTTTATACTGTCATTGGCATCATAATTTATCCTATGAATCTTGAGGATCAACAAAAACTATAATAATGACCTGCATAGAATTTGATTCTTGCTAACCTTCAGCACCTCCAGTCTACAGTGACAGAGTCACCTTTTCATAGAATCATCAATCAAGTGACAATATTAGACCATGTAGTTCTGTCATTGCCTTTCAATAGTTCACCTAGCTACTAGTAAATTGATGAATACTCTTATGTAATAAAACATAACTCGAATTGATTTCATGAATTAATAGTGTCTGTAATATATATAGTGTGAGACATGAGAATAGATGAAAAGTATAATCATATTAATTTAAATCTACATTTAAATGCTATTCCTTCATCAGTTAACCTATTGGGTTATATATATTTTTAAAATTTTGTTATGTAATTATACATGATTTAATATCCTTGACTTCAATATGTTAGTGAGACTGACAGGTACAAAACTGGGATGTGCAGAGGGGGGCTGTGGAGCTTGCACAGTGATGGTGTCCAAGTGTGAGCGCCCATCAGGGAATATAATGTATCCTTTTGTAAAAAAAATTGATGATTGTTGGTTAGAGTATGGGGTTTTGGTTTGCCAGTATGTGTGTATGTGTGCGTGCGTGTATGCATGTGTGTGTGTGTGTGTGTGTGTGTGTGTGTGTGTTTGTGTGTGTGTGTAAAGAGAGAGAGAGAGGACAAGAGTGTTATTAGTTGCATGTTTACGAATGGGAAAAGAGACTCACTTCAATTTTTCCTTCAACATCATATTGCAGACACTATTCTGTGAATGCTTGTCTGGCCCCAGTATGTGCCATGCATGGCCTGGCTGTCACAACTGTTGAGGGAATAGGTAGCACCAAGACCCAGCTCCATCCAGTACAGGTAAGAGGTAACACATTTTATACTGTAGGCTAACATGTTGCAGCATAGGCCTTGGCTTAATCATTTGAATACATGTATGGTTTATGCCGTAGGGAGGATATTAGTTACCTGAATGAAACAAGCTGCACAAGTTCATTAGCTTGATTGAATCTAAAGGATAGTTAAAGGTAAGGGTTTGAAGTCAGCAGATTTGCAAGTTTGACAGCATATTATAAAATAAAAGAAATCATTAAACGGGCCATGTATTTTTCTCATTTGATGATTGTATAGCAAATATTAGTACCTCTGACAAGGAGGTAATGTTTGGCTTGCTGTTATTTAATAGTTTGCCTGTTATTTAACCTTTGTTTTAAAGAATGGTCCTTTTAATGGAATGGCATGTTTGGGGGCTGAATACTGACACCCTGAGTTCAACTGCTGTGATTTATTGATGTTCATACCCAGCTTCTTTTTTGTTCAAGGTAACAAGTGGCTCCTTGTCATGAAAACGGGATATGTACCCTAGATTTCAAACATGGAAGGTCCCTTTAATTTTACCATGTGGTGTTTGTTATTTTATGTTTTGTTTTATATCAACTCAGTTGGGTATGAATATTATTTTTAAATTGTCAGAAAATATGTTCCAATACAAAAAAACTGACTGGTACTACATGTGTATACATGTATGTACTGCAAGTATATATGTTACTTTGGTCTGTTTTTATATTCTTTCCATGCTGTGACCCAGATTTTGTGTATAATATTATAGTTAACTCTTGGGGTAGAAAGTTGAGCAATTGCTTGTAGTACATGACTGTTTTGTTTTATGTAACATATTCATCTACATACATTTTATAACTATGCTGGTTGTATTTGTAAGCCCATCTGCTGTTAATTATCAGTAGAAAAAAAGGTACCTCATGGTAGAGTGAAGAGTAAAGTGGGAAAATTAAGTGTTGGTGTGAAATAGAAAACTGGAATTAAAAATAGTGAGATGTTTTTAAACAATAGCATTACAGAAAACAATCTACCTGCTCTTCTGTCTGGATGAGTAAACAACCTGAAAAAACTTGTCACTAGACAACTAGATAAATGAGAAAGGTTAGAAGTGGTGGATTCTCACCTGTATGATATGCCCTGGAAATGGTTAATTCACATGTGTATTTTTAATCTCAAATTCTTTAAAAAATGCTGTTACAGTATTGAAATAATTTCAGGAAAGGATTGCAAAGTCTCATGGCTCTCAGTGTGGATTCTGTACTCCAGGAATTGTCATGTCCATGTACACCCTGCTCAGGAATACAAGACAGCCTTCCATGGAAACTATGGAAAATGCTTTTCAGGGTGAGGTTTTTGAAAGATTAATGTCTGTTGTTTAAAAAGTATCTGAAATTCAAGGTGACAAGGAAACAGAAAACTGTGTGACATGAGAGAAAAAAATTACACTTACATTGGTTTTTCCCTTTCTCCTTGCCCCCCCCCCCCCCCCCACCACACACATGCAAACACACACCTTAAATTTATTGGAGTTATTATTTAGTAGCTAGTTTTCTTTATAAATCATTTAGTATCTAGTTTTCTTTATAAATCTAGGTAACCTCTGTCGATGCACTGGCTACAGGCCAATTCTGGAAGGCTTCAAAACTTTCACAAAAGAGTTTTACTGTGGGCAGGGTGAAAACTGCTGTAAAAATGGACCACTGAATCCAAGGGAAAATGACCGGTTGTTTGAACCAAGTGAGTTTGTTCCTTTGGACCAAACCCAAGAACCTATATTCCCTCCCGAACTACAAGTGAGTAATGACAAGTTTTGTCATTAACCAAGTGATATTAACCTAATTGAAATGTAGAGAAGTAAGCTGCGATTGTTATTTATGCTAATTTGGTATAATGGTATGCTTTAAAGACTTACTAATGGAACAATGGTATGTACAGTCTGAGCTTTTGATAATTGCTGAAGATTATTTAAAAAGTAGAGAATGTTTTACCAAATTAAGTGTTTTTGATGTTAAAATTTCAATATAGAATCAGAACATTTATAATTGGTAAATTGATTGTTTTTATTTGCAGCTTTCCAATAAGCTTGACAATAAACTGCTTGTATTCAGAGGGGAAAGAACCACATGGCTGAGGCCTGTGACCTTAAATGAACTATTGGATTTGAAAGCCAAGCACCCTCAGTCAAGGATGGTGGTTGGAAACACAGAAGTTGGTTAGTTTTTTAAAAACATACCCTAAAACATGAGTTGGGGTTAGAAAGAACAGTCCTATTGGTTGGAAAAGGTCCACATTTTCAGAAAATGAGCCCTCTTTGTAATTGCTGACTAAAGAGCCTTATAGATTTCTTTGTTTTAATATGGTATCCAATTAAAGGTAAAAAGGATAAGATAAAGGTGAAAAATTTATTTTTTTTCGAGAAAAACTGAACTGGGTTTAACAAATGTTGACAAGAATATGCTGAATATAAAGAAGGCAAAGGTTAAAGGGATGAAACTAATAATAAACATTGTTTATTTGTAGGTATTGAGGTTAAGTTTAAAAACATGACTTATCCAGTGATAATTGCTCCAACACATGTCCCTGAGCTACTTGAGGTCAAACACACAAATACAGGCATCACTTTTGGAAGTTCTGTTTCACTGTCAAGATTGAATCAAATCCTGGTCGAAACAGTAAACAAACTGCCAGGTGAGATGTTTTTGTTTTAGAGAAAAAGTGTCTGATTTTCTTACATTAGAATTATAGTTCAACAAATATATTTGAAGTTACAGTATGTGATTTTTTTTTTTTTTTAATCTACCTATTTTCATTTCAAATAGCTTGTTTTTCTTATGCTTACTTATAACATTTTTTCATTAAATCTATTTTGACTAAACAAATATCTATGCAAGCACAGTTTAAACATTTAATTTGGCATGTGTAATATATAAAAGATGTCATCTTTTTAGAACACAAGACTCGAGTATTTGCTGCCATTATTGAAATGCTCAGGTGGTTTGCAGGTGATCAGATCAGGAATGTTGCAGTAAGATTCTTTTTTTCTAATAGTGGGTACATTTATTTGTTATTTTTTATCCAAATGATGGCCTTTGTAATCTTAATGTGAAATTATTCTCATTGACACATTTTTGTCTCCATTATTTTGAAAATTCTAGATAATAATTGCATTGACTTATTGTTATTTTTATTTTTTAGGCCATTTCAGGTAACATTATGACTGCTAGTCCCATCTCAGACTTGAATCCTATATTTATGTCTGCTGGTTGTTCATTAATTGTCAGCTCAAAAGGTGAGTGATGACTTCCAAAGGTCTAGGTGTGTTTGTTTTTTCCCCTCTATATGTTCAATGAAGCAATTTGACATCTTGGTGAAACACTGGTCTTTGAGGTTTGAAGAAAAAAATAGAAAAAAATTGGGGTAAAAATTATGGAGAACATATATCTGATGGTTTCCTTTAAAATTAACCCATGGCAAGGAATTCTAAACAAGATTTCGGGCTTTAAAAATTTTATGGCCCTGATATTTAATTTCTAATATTTTTGCATTTCCTACCGATTGTCTCTATTCAATCCTCCTGGAGTTAGAGATGTCACATTTTTTTAAAGTTAAATGATTTTCTTAAATTTTCCCTCAGCATTAAGAAGCATCTTTAGCCAAATTAAGAAACATCTAATGTTCCCTTTTACATTAGCGCAGGATACTTGTATTTATATGGAAACAGAGAAAAGGGAAATATGTTAAAGACAGAAATTTCTGTAACTCATTTTTCGTATTTTGATCTCTTGTCTTGTTGATATAGTGCTGATATTTTTAAAATGATTACTCTCATCTAGTAGACATGGATTGTTTTATCTGATCAAAATGATGTCCAATTCCACTTAGACTATAGTGTTTTCTCTATTGTCTGCTTCAGAAAGGGGTGCCAGAGAACTGCTGTTGGACCACTCTTTCTTCTTAGGATACAGAAGGACAGTGGTGGAGCCTGATGAAGTCCTGATCTCAGTTCATGTACCATTCACAAGTGAGGTATATGTTATATCAAAAATATATCAAAAATTCAAAGTCTAGAAAGTTTAACCAAATTGTTGAAATTGTTTGAAAAGAAACCCCTCAAAATATTAATACTTAAGGTGTGAAATTTTAGGCATATATGTGATAAAAAAATGTGCTGAATTTTGGACTTTAATAACTAATCAGCTATCTATGATGTTTTAATTGCACCACCAATGTGAAAGCTTGGGTTAGGTGTGGTTTAACCCCAGGCTTGTCTTGTTAATTTCCCCTCAATACAACAGTGCACCTCACGGTATTGCCTCTGGCATGAAAACTTTTGACTCTAAGGCTCTTATAAGATCCCTCTGGCAATCAATTAGAAAAACAAAAAATGTCATGCCTGCGTGATGCCAGTTTCAGAAAAGATGATTGCTGACATAGTCTTCTGCAAACTTGCATACTACATGTATTCTTAATGTCTTCTTCTATTATAATCGATGTATGAGCTCAGTGATTAAGATTTTTTATTTATTGAAGTTTTACGTGATAGTAAGAATCATGGTGTCATAGAAAGGACACTTAGTGTGAAATAAACACTGCTAACCTTGCATTGCCTGCAACTAAGAATAAGTAGTACTGTCAGGTGTTGATACATTCAAATACTGGCTGCATGTATATGTCACAGTCGAGTGCCATAGAAATATATGTATTAGTCACCTTACAACTTTCTGAATTGCTAAGTTGCAAATCATAAAATCTATATTTAAAAAGAAATTGTTCAGTCTATTGAATTTACCCTGTTCTTCCAGAATGAATATTTCTATGCATACAAGCAAGCTCAGAGGAGAGAAGATGACATTTCTATCGTGAATGCTGCCATGAAAGTGGAGTTTGAACAGGGTGGTAACACTATTAAACAAATGGCTCTGAGTTTTGGTGGCATGGCTCCCACTACTGTTATGGCTCTCAGGGCAGCACAGCAAGCTGTTGGGAGGTAGTAGTTTTAACCGACTTTTTAAACCATGTTTCATTTAGCTTGAAGTCTTGATATCTCTTATTAATAATTCTTTCTTGAATGGTTTTAAATATTGTAAAACATTTACTTTTTAAAAGTAGAGTCCCCCATAGTGATTTTGATTTTACTCAGAAAATGTATATTATATACATCACATTCTTTCTTCCAATTGCAACATATGGTTTTAAATAGATGCTACATGTACATACTCCCCAGCATGGTGATTAATTTTTGTATTAGTAGCACTGCTCTCCTTACTGCTTTGTTTCTCATATTTTTCCATTGATATAAATTGTGTTCCAGGTGTTAAAGTCCAGCAATTATAAGATGCCATTTAATTGATAGCTTTTTACATATGTTCTGGTTTAATTTCAGGAAATGGGAAGATGACCTGGTGACAGATATGTGTGGTTGGCTGGCAGACGACCTTCCATTGACCCCTGATGCTCCAGGAGGTCAGACAGAATACAGGCGGACATTAACCACAAGTTTTTTCTTCAAGTTTTATCTCAGTGTGCAAATGCGGTTGAGTGAAGCAAAGGTAAATTTACCTTGATAAAGTTTTTAAAAGATTACATACTGGATTTACAATTTTACATGCATTATTCTCAAAGTGGACATTCACTAAAATCTATAGACCATGTAATGTATTTATTAAATCATGATGCATTTAGTAGAATGTTAAAGAAAAAATTACAACTGTTATTCAAGCATCTTTACTTTAATATCATTATAACTGTATTTGTCTGAAAAAGACAAGAAGCTACAAAATGTGATGAAAAGCCCATAAATGAGCCCTTAGAAAAAGAAAAGTGAAACACACAGAGTTGTCAGAAAATCATTTAAATCAGATTTAATCAGTCATTATAGAATTAAATACACATGTTGGTACAATTTGCATTGGAAAACAAAACAAAAAAAAAAACAGAGGGGGAATACTATGAGGGCTTTCCAGTTAATCTATCAGATTTAAGTGCACATAGTTTTATGACTTTTCTAACTTTGTATCCTCATAGGTTGGTCTAAGCAATGTTCCCAGATCATACAGAAGTGCCTTGCCCGTCTATCACCGGGAACCCATTAAAAGCACTCAGGTGTATGAAGAGGTTCCTGAAGCCCAATCAGAGAAGGATGCTGTGGGGAGACCCCTCCCGCACAAAGCAGGCTCTCAGCAAGCCACTGGAGAGGCTCAGTACTGTGATGATATGCCTTATGCTGATGGTATGTAGATTGGAGTAAATTTTTACCTAAAGTAGATGGAATAGAACCCTTTGTCATCTCTATAACTATTGATAATGCTGAAGAAGTTTTGTTGTTTATTTATATCATTTATTTCATTCTGATGGAAATTGATCTGTGTAGTAATGTTACTCATGATGATGAAATTTTAAAATTGTTCAATTTCTATGCTGACTGAAAGCATACCTGTAATAGCTATTACATGTATGCTTTCAGTTAGTGTAGAAATTGAACAGTTTAAAAATTTTACCATTATGTATTTCATGTTTGCATTTTCTCATATATGAGGTTGTACCAAAATGATAACATCTAATATAAAAAAGAATTTCAATAGATAAGAATTTTCTATCATTATCTCTATCATTTAATCGACCAAAAAAAAAAAAAAATAAATAAATAAAAATAAATAAATAAATAAATCAATAAAAAAAATAAGAATAAAAAAAACTTTCTGATCTAGGTGAGCTGTATCTTGCCTTAGTCACAAGCACAAGACCTCATGCCAAGATCCTTAATATTGACGCCAGTGATGCCTTAAAAATGACAGGTGTAAAAGCCTTCTTTTGTCACAAAGATGTACCTGGAAATAATACGGAGGGCCCAGCTGCAGTTAAAGATGAGGAGGTTTTTGCATCAGAAAAGGTGTGGGTGAGGTATTTGTGGACGTAATTTAAAGGCAAATTGTGATAGTAAAGGTGGAAGTACCAACAGAAAATGTGGTGTAACTTCTTTTAAGTTTTGGCATCCACAGGATGGGTTATAAAAGTGAAAGATCTGTCAAAGAATTCATTCAGCAATTGTCTTATCAACAATATCTATTGTTTGACAAATATGAGCATTGCAGCAATTCTTCATCTCTCTCAATTAAAAAAATAAATTATCATTGACATGCAAAAATATATTGAAATCTGATTGAGCTGTGCTGGTTTACTCCTTGCAGTTATAACAGAATATTTCTGTATTTTTCTTAAGTATGTTTGTAAATTTTGGTTCAGGTGACTTGTGTGGGTCAGGTGATAGGAGCAGTGGTAGCAGACAACCAGGTCCATGCTCAGCGAGCTGCCAAGGCTGTCATTGTGGAATATGAAGATTTGCCAGCAATTGTCACAATTGAGGTATCTGAATATAGGATAAAATAAGGGGATGTTTTTTTTTTACAATTTTTAAAATCTTAAGATAATAAAACACATTTTCACCCATGGAGATTATTTATGACTGGCCACAGTTCTAGTATGTTTAAACAATAGTTGCTTTCTGTCTCTTATGTCAGTTTCTTCTCATTCGTCAATTTACAAATCCTTAGCTTTCACCCTCCTTATTCATCCTGTTTTAGTTAGAACTATAAATTTTAATCAACAGAGACAAAACATATCCTTCTTGACATGGCCAATGAGTTCATTATTTGATGTTGAATTCTTTACAGGAAGCCATTGAAGCAGGGTCTTTCCACCCTCCTGCCAGGTCCATGTCCTGTGGAGATGTGGACCAAGGTTTTGCCCAGTCTGACCACGTGCTGACTGGTGAGAAACGAGTTGGTGGACAGGAGCACTTTTATCTAGAGACACAAGTGACCAGAGCCGTTCCTAGGGGGGAGGATGGAGAAATGGAAGTTTTCAGTTCTACCCAGGCTCCATCAATTGGACAGGTGAATACTTTTATAAGTAAGAGAATTGTTGTCAGTGGAATGAATGAATCTCATGAGTGAAAAAATGCCTTGGCCACAAATTTATCATTTGTGGTGCTTTCTGTATTCTGGTCAGATAGTGGTGTAATAAAAGTATATGGATCAAACATTATTATTGAATGAAAAGCATTACAAAGACAGTTTCGTTTCCATTAATCTTATGTTTTTGCGACATATTAATTTCAATTCTCTCTTGATTTGTTGGCTTTGAATAAAAAAGTGTTTGATCATTATGCTTGGTTGTTTGGGGTGTGTGGATATGGTACAACTTGCATTAAAACACTACACATGCTGTTTCTTGATATTATAGAAGTAAGGTGGTGCATTTATATATTTGATTTCAGTTTATGATAGCCAGTGCTCTAGGAGTTCCAGCCAACAGGATTACTGTACGAGTAAAAAGATTGGGTAAGTTATTTTCAAAACTGTCTCTTAATCACAAGTGGCACAGAATGAATTCTGAAAATGGTTGGGATATCATCACATTTCTTCCTTATTAAGAATTTTTATTATACCTGCTGTCCCTAAATGTTTCTTTCTTTTTGTGTATGTGTTGTATAGGAGGGGGTTTTGGAGGCAAGGAAACACGTTTTCATGTTCTTATGGTACCAGTGGCAGTTGCAGCTTTCAAGTAAGTCCAAAATGACAATTAATTGCCTCTTACTCTGTTTATATTTTACGAAATCTAATTTAAAAAAAATATATATATATGACCCCCAAGTCCTAATTCACACACACACACATGTAAAATGTTGAAAGTGAGCTGCTTAGGTATCTCAAATAGGCAGTCAAGTTTGCCCCAACTGCTTTTACTGGTATATATGTGTATGGACATGTTTGTGTATCTTATCATATTGTTAGATTGAATTGTTCTACTCCACAAGGCTGAATTGCCCAGTACGCTGCATGTTGGATAGAGATGAAGATATGTTGGTAACTGGTGGGAGACACCCTTTTCTTGGCAAATACAAGGTATGTTATATTTTTTGTCAGTCAATTCAACATCTTTGTATATGTTTTTTAAATATAATTATGCAGGCACTTATTAAGTCTCTATGTTCTGATCATCTGTCTTTCCATGTTGTGGTGATTTTTTTGTTGATTTTAGCCATTTTCCTTGAAACACTAGGCAAAATGTACTCGAGGGCTAGCTTGGAATCTTAGCAGCCAATCATTTTAATACACTCCATTAATTGCATGCACATTTACTCTTTTGCATATTATTTATTTCTTTACTTATGCCAGATCTGTTGAATTCAGCACTTCTAGTTCATGTTTTATTAAAATGAATTTATAGAATTTTTGATTTTACAAGTACTTGTAATTTTCAATAAATACAAGTTAGTTTTTGTTGAAGGAAGTCAATTCTTCTTTATGTTTTCCCATCAGGTTGGATTCAGCAACAGTGGTAAAATCCTTGCTTTAGATGCAGCGTTGTACTCCAATGCAGGCAACAGTGCTGATCTCTCTTTGGCGGTAAATTGCACTCAGCTTTTGATATTTTTATTTACCTTGTCCTTAAATGTGTTAACATTTGAAGATTAAAGCAGGCAGTATGAAGTGAATGTTTTTGGTTATATTCAGAAACTCCACAAGTGAAAATAGACAAAAGAAGGTTGCCATGTTTAATTGTATCATTACTAGCTAGTGCATAACGTATACTGTTGCATAGACTGAATTGACTTCCAACCCTCAGAATGCAAGCTAGGAGCTTCTGTACAATGTATTAAAATGGAAATATAAGGTGTTGCTGTCATTGAAATGTTAATTAATACCTGCTTTAGGTAACTGATGAATACTGAAAAGATTATTTTCTAAGGAAATTAAATTTTTTTTCAAGTTTGATATGAAAGAATTGATTTTCTCACCCAAGGCCCAAACCTCTATTCAACTGTAATTGTTTTCTTCACAGGTAATGGAGAGGGCAATGTTTCACATTGACAGCTGTTACAAGTTGCATAATGTCAGAGTTGTGGGACACTTGTGTAAAACCAACCTTCCATCAAACACAGCTTTCCGAGGGTTTGGAGGGCCTCAGGGGCTGATGATCATGGAGACATTGATAAATGACATTGCTGATTATTTGGGGGTTTCGCCTCTGGAGGTAAGAGCGTGATTTTTAGTATTCACAAATAATTTAATTGAGAAAAATTCTTTCTTGAAACATATGGATACATAGACCGGATATTGATGAGGAAAAATTGCCTCTGGAAACTTACGGATATATTGACCAAATATTGATGATGCTTTAAACCAGTTTAACGGGAAAGTGTGACAGTCATATTTGTACAAGAAAAAAATGAATTTTCAGGTGCGTGAGTTGAATATGTACAAAGAAAATGACGTTACGCACTTTGATCAGAAACTCGTCAACTGCAACATACGGCGCTGCTGGGATGAGGTAATTAAACAAAGTAACTTTCACAGAAGAAGACAAGAAATTGATATTTACAATAGGTAAGTTCTCTCTATTTAAATTTTAAAATGGTTTGATTGGTGCATTGTAATTAAAGTTCCATAAAAGTTATTGAAAATTACCTTTATTTTATCTTCTGATCAACATTAAGAGAGTTGAAATGAAGTACTATTGCTAATTTTCTTGCTCCTTGGCACATGAAGAAACAAAAAAGATTTATGGTGGTAAAAGTTGTCACAGGGGAGCATACTCTGGAATGGCCTTTTGGACTCTTGTTATGCATGGTTTATTTCAATTAAAAAAATATCTTCCTCTCCTTTGATTACAATGTTTGCATTGGCCCTTTCATTTTCTACAAAGTTAACAATAAATACAAGCATTCTCATTTTTGCAGTGAGAATCGTTGGAAAAAACGTGGTATTGCAGTCATCCCCACAAAGTTTGGCATATCTTTTACAGCTACATTTCTTAATCAAGTAAGTTGCATTATATTAAGACATGCATGCATACACAGAATTAAAAAATTGTGACAATGAATTGTAAAATGAGGTTAACATAAAAATCTACCAGCACACTTTGTTGGAGTCTTTTTGTACATAAAATGCCAACAGTGCTTCAGAAATGGTACCTGACATGATAATGACATACCCATTTTTAAATGAAAGGAATTCCATGAACTCCAGAGTACAGGCTGCTGGCAGAAATCATGCCAAGATGACAATTCTTCTATAATATTAGGTTTTAGATTCAGTTTTTAACCAATTTTTAGGGAGGAGCATTGGTCCATGTCTACCAGAATGATGGCTCTGTTCTTATCACACATGGGGGCACAGAAATGGGTCAAGGCCTGCATACCAAGATGAGCCAGGTAGCGCAATAATTCATTCACTTTTACTCAGTTGAATGCTTATTACAAGTTAATCTGGAAAGATAAGTTATGTATTTTACATATGTTATAAGGAACATAAAAATTCTTCATTTTAGAAAGGCACAGTTTATTGCATCAATACAGAATTCTTTTAATTGGGTTTTATGTATAACAAACTTCCATAATTGCATCATGTAGTTCTTTTGTTGTTGTTATTGTTTATTTTATAATGTCTCTAGAAGGTGAAAACACATTTTTGACCATTGAAAGGCTCTTACAATACACTGCCCTTGTCTGCTGTTTTAGGTTGCTAGTAGAGCTCTAAACATCCCCATTTCCAAGATTCATATTAGTGAGACCAGCACCAACATGGTACCGAACGCCTCAGCGTCTGCTGCCAGTGCCTGCTCTGATTTGTATGGCATGGCAATCTTGGTAAGCAGTCACTAAACCTCACAGATATTTATAATGTTATATTCTACAGAAAATATAACACAATGTAGATGTTTTCTGATTCTGTAATTAACTCGACTACATGTCTTTTTTTAGAATGCCTGCCAGATTATTATGGAACGCCTGGAACCGTACAAAATTGCCAACTCGAAAGGCACTTGGGAAGAATGGGTATGTTATATCCAAAGAACTTCAGTGTAATATGTTTACAGGCTTGTCAAACACTTACATATCTCTTTGCCTGACATGATGAAAACCTTCCTTTAAACAGTTTCATTTTTAAAAATAAATAATGAATAATTAAATAAATAAAATTGATTAATAGAAATTAATAAGTGAATTGAAATGTAGGAAGAAATTTTTAGTTTGAAGGAATACAATATAACTGAAAGTGTCTCAGATACTAAAACGTGCACCTTCCTGATAGGTGGACATTTTGTGTTTCATTTCAGTTTAGTTCATTCCTGTACTGATGTTTACATTTTTATGGCCATGTACGTTGTAATATAATATAATATAATTGTTACATTACACATGATGTAAACATATATTTTTCTACAACTAAGAAAGCTATTTTAAGGTTTAATTTTAATGATTTAGTCATGTGAAGAGAAAATAATAATAATAGAATTGATGATAACATTGCAGGTGAAGGCTGCCTACTTTGACAGAGTTAGTCTATCGACAACTGGGTTTTACAAGTAAGAACAATTAAACAAGAAGAATAACAAATGTATTGAATTAAAATGTCAGGTATTTAATTCGAAGAAGCAGTGAATAAGTTTTGATGAAAGAAATATTATGTTGATACGTAATAATGTGTCACCCAATTTTAAGCTGTGTTTTAGGTATACATTCTCTTTATCACCACAGTGATTGAAATTGGTAGTTTCCAGTGAGTTAAATTCTTTGAAAAATGGTATTCTTATTGCTATTCTTGTTTCTAGGACTCCAGACATTCAAGGTTTTGATTGGGAGAATAACAAAGGGATGATGCCCTTCAATTACTTTACCTTTGGTGCAGCATGCTCAGAAGTGGAAATCGACTGTCTCACAGGAGATCATACGGTACATGAACGAATATTTTCAATAGTTTCAGGCTGTCATTTTAATGCATCTTGACTTTATCATTATCATATTGCAGCTGTGCATTTATAAATTTAATTCAGTCAGAATAAACAGAATACAGTGGAATGTTGTACTTGTGCTTGTGACAAATTTGGAATCAGTCTTCTTAATTAAAGGCTATTTCACATGTCTGGTCTTCTCCCTCATGTCTTCTTTATTGTCCAGGTTTTGAGAACTGATATAGTGATGGATGTGGGCACTAGTTTGAACCCAGCAATAGACATTGGTCAAATTGAAGGGGCATTTGCACAGGTAATGTGAACAGGACATTAACTGTCAAAATATCTTAATATGCATTATCAAATTAAAGGTATTGAAGTATGATTCTGATATAATACATTGGTTTATATCTCCTGTTCCACTAACATTTTGATGGAAAAGGGGGGCTAGGGGTGGGGGACCACCCTTTAGCCTGCCCCAGTATGCTGTCAGAGTTGCCTCTTCTGTATATGAAAACTGAAATTTCCAGGGATATGGCATGTTCACCATTGAACAGCTGAAGTTCAGTCCACAGGGAAGTCTGATCAACCGGGGCCCTGGGGCCTATAAGTTACCAGGATTTGGAGATGTCCCTGTGGAATTCAATGTCTCTCTACTTAAAGGGGCTTCCAACCCAAGGGCTGTATACTCCTCTAAGGTAGACCATATGATTTTTTTGTACTCTGGCTGTTTGACAAAAATGATGGTTAATTTTTTCTTCAACATTAGCATGAATAGTCATATCTTTGATTTTTTAGTACTGGATGTTGAGCAACAAACACAAAGTAATATGTTTTGGCCATTTGAGAAAATTGAGAAAAATGATTGTCATGTCAGTATATTTATTTACCATAACTTTAATAACTATATTATTTTGTACCCTAGGCTGTATTTTTTGATTAAACATTTTGCTTACGTTGAATTAAAAGTAACATTATCGTGGTGGTGTTCATACCATTGTGCATTTAGTAACTACCAGTGGCTTGATAAGTTACGAACTGTTTGCTTGAGATTTTAGTTGATGGCAATGATGAGAATCACTTGATGTTTGCCATGGCTACATTCACAACGGCCATAGGAAATCAAGAAATTAATTTTCATGCAATGTTAAACAACTCCAAATATCTCTTTTCATCCCAAGAATGTTAAATCAAGTTCTTTAATGTAGTGTAATACACAGTTGGTTGAAATGATTTGTAGATCTAATCTGAAATAAATACTTTGGTTTAGGCTATTGGAGAGCCTCCCTTGTTTTTGGCATCCTCAGTATTCTTTGCCATCAAAGATGCCATCTCTAGTGCTCGGGCGGATGCAGGTGTGCCGGGACTGTTTAAACTGGACAGTCCAGCCACGCCAGAAAGAATCCGAATGGCTTGTGTGGATCAATTCACCAAACAGGTAAGGTACAACCTTCATCACAGTATTGTTCATGCCCTAAACTTACATTAAGAGTGCCTGGTGGCATAAGATGTCAACAAGAATCCCAGTTTCAACAGCACTAAACTCTGTATCAATTTGGATGAAATTTATTAAAGAAATTAATTACCATTTTATTGCAGCACTAGTAGCTTTTTCCTTGGACATTTATGAGACATTTTGGTGAGTTTGAATGCAAATTGTACATATTTTTTCAGTTTCCACCTGCTGAAGCTGGGTCTTATAAACCATGGTTTGTGCATGTCTAGAAAACACCGATGCCATGTGTGTATGAGGGAAGTTCAATTCATATTTAGCTTTGATAAATACATAACAATTATCAGAACAGAACATGCGCAGGTAACCATTTTAATGATAAATATTTTACAATCATCAGAACAGAATGTGGACAGGTCACCATAATTTTAATTGTCAGAAATAGGGACAAAATGGTGAAATGGGGTATGTTTGAGAATCTGATGATTCAGCTATGCACTTCTGTCAATGAATAAGTTAGTTGAAAGAGGATTATTTGTCCCTTTGAAACAAGAACACTTTGTAAGAATGGACATTAAGTTTGCCATAATTTAAGGCATTAGAATTGAAAACACTGTCAGGAGTGTTTTTAATATAAATGCATACCAATAGGTGTTGCTGTTGGTTTTATTTGAATTGCATCTGTCTCATGTTTACATCTCTGTAAAGTCCCTGTTAAGTTTATATCATTCATAATTTCTAATAACAGTTATGCTATGTCACTTGACTATATTATGTGAAACCATTTATCAGAAATATATATAAACTCAGAACTGTATGCCTGTAATTACCCCAGTTAGGTCATGGCATACACCTTACTAAAACCAACATATTTTACAAGTAAATGTATATATATTTATATATACGAAAGGGTGTTGGACATCAGATAAGACTTGGCAGCTGTGAAATCCATTTGATCTGTTCAGATGCGGCAGTATTAAGGCAATTACAACGAAAGTTTTGTATGGTAACTATACATTATACATTATAAGAGCACAAATATTTAACATTTTCTTGTAGGTTAACAGGTGGTGGCTACCTTTTAGCATAAATTGCCATGTGTATGTATATGAATTTATGTAATTATGAAGAAGTTTGGAAAAGTCACTTGCAAAATGCTAGAAGATTAAGATAAATGCTAGAAGATTAAGAAGAGAATATCTTTGACAGATTGGCTGGGCTACAGGTATAAATTGAAAGGAGTTGCAGCATTTTCTGCTTTTTTAAAAAAGGGGAAGGAATTAGAAAGTTTCTTTGGTGATTAATGGGTGATATGAAATGGAGTTAAAAATGTTTACATAATTTTCCTCTAGTTTTATCAAATATTTTAAAGTTTTAATGATGTTATTTGCATTTAACAGCAAGTAGCGAGAATGTGTGTATTTAGACTTTTCATTTAAAGATGCATACAAAGCATGTCAAATTATTGTCACTTAAAGCTAAAAAACGTTTACACAATTTTTCCACTAGTTTTATCAAAAAGGTGATATTTTAAGGTTTTTAATGATGTTATTTGCATTTAATAGCAAGTAACCAGAATTTTTGCATTTATACTTTTCATTTAAAGATGCATACAAAGCAAGACATGTCAATTTATTGTCACTTAATGCAACAGATGCCACCAAATAGTTTCAAATAGTATAACTTAAGGAAGTACAATAGGGTTTCAATTTATAATTCCCCTAAAGACGATTCTTCAACAGATGTTTTCTGCTTACTGTCTGTGCTATATACAACCCTCTTTTTGCTTTCGCCAGCTCTCATTTGAATTATGTGATTGCAGCAGTAATATCTTCTACATTGTTTAATCATTTGGCAGACTTTTACAAACAGATAACTAAGACCAGTTTAAGACCAGAAATTTTAAGATGGTGCAGTTTTAAAGCCTTTTTTGGTGGAGCACTTAATTTGGTTTATCCTTTGGTTTGTGGACTTGGACTTGAGAACCTGGTAGTTGTAATTTATATGCAGAACAAGGAATCTATGCTCTCTTTGCATGCATCTTTAAAGAAATTTGTCAATGTCAGATTGACTTCACCTAATATTTCTGCAGTTCCTCTCCTGGTATTTTAATAGGAAACTTTTAAAGAATTTATTTTTATCCTTAATTAAGTGCAATCACATGGAATTCATTCTTATAATACCAGCAGCATTAATTTATACTAAGCTTCTTGTTATAAAATACACAACTCTTCTGTTTTGACATAAGGTAAAATAAAGATTTTTCTGTTTGGCCAACTTCTTTGCAGTTATTTTCAGTCAGTATTTTTGCCTCCATTCTTATTAACTTAAGTTAAAAAGAATGATTTAATTGAGTAAAATCTTAATATTCATCATAAATAGTTTTATTACAGTTGCAAATGAACCTCTTCCAAGTTACTTGGACAATAATTAACAAAAGGAAATACAGTGATCATTAACCAGTATTTCTTGAAACATCATAAACATAACATGATAGTTAATAAGTCTTTCAGGAGATGAGCTCCTTGTTAAGATACTGATACTGAGCGCCTGCATTTTAAGAGAGCACAGAATGGTGCAGCAAAATCACTACAATAATCTGCTTACCAGTTGGACACTGCTGTCTTTTTTCTCATAAATGTTTCAAATCAAAGTGTACTTAAAGCAGCCCCCCCCCCCTAAGAATTTTATAACAACATAATTTCAAAATAATCAAAAACCAAAATCTAGATCATCTTTGCCAACCCGTTTCTGTTGTCTTTCAAAACAGACTATAATGTCCCCTTTGTTTACTTGAACCTTTGGATCGTCAAAGGTTAGACCACATTCCATGCCTTGTTTTATTGTCTGTACTTTGGACTGGAAGTGCCTCAAATTGCTAATTTGCCCTGGGATGAAGAGAAAACGGTACCATTTAGTATTGTATTAGTTTGTAGTGGAGATTTAACAAGGTATTCACTTGTGCTGGTGTTTTAGCAAAGGAAAAGAAATACAGCACAAAACAAAGTTCTTAATGTTTTAAACAAGCAATGTGATTGATGATGACAAATCTGGTGTACCAAAACCATCAAGACAGATGTATTTTTAACACTGTTTTAAATAAAATGATTTCACATCAAATATGTAGGTTATGTATCTCCAAGTGGCATAATGCAAATACTACGCCAGTATGAAAGCATTACTGAAATGGTAAAACCACCAGACGTACCTTCATGTACAACCTCATCTTCTCTTATTAACTGAAAATGTTTCTTAGAATCCAAAATGCCCTCTGAGCAGTAGCATCCTGCTGCCAGGGAATGGTGCTTGCCAATTGCTGCCTTGAACATCTTCATCACTTCTGCTTTGCCTGCAAAATGTTTTTAGTCCATTTTGATGCATTGTTTCATAATTATGAACAGTATATTTACCACTAATTTTTAATTACATACTTCAGGTAACATGGACATTCAGAAAAAGTAACAAGCATAAGGTTTAAATCTGGGACCCATGGTATTTCAGTCACACAATGAAAATACCCATATGAGAAAAATGAAAAATTCCCAAAAATCTGCATAGCTTCAACATACAAAAATATAACAATAAGAGTGCTACTCCAACTCGACCTGTATTTTGTTGCCATAAATCACTCCAGTAAGTTTAGGCCCCAATGATTACCCTTAAATTGCATTAATGGTGAAAAATGCAAGGCACTAACAACAGATGCAGGTGATAGCCATATGTACAGACAGTGTATGTAATTAAAAACTTTCATGACACTAACTTAAGCTGCCCATTCATCAAATGAAGCTTTCCTGTTTATCTCAAGAAAAACAACAGTAACTGTTATGGAACAAACATGTTGGACTGCACCTGTATTGCTAACAGCTACGGTAATGATATAGATACAGGTAATCAGACTATATACAGACACTCACTGTGTCTGTATATATAAACTTTGACTGGGTTCCCATGCCTAGAACCTAACTCCCTGGGGAGTCTCACTAATTGCTATCAACTCAACTGGCTTAAATGTCTGTCACGCCTGCCGAACCAGCTAGGGATAAAGATAATTACCCACTAACAGCTTTACTAAGTGTGACAAACTTTTAAGCTGGTCAGGTTGATAGCGATTTAGTGAGACCCCCCAGGGAAACAGATTGATCCAAATATCTGTGGGAATGCTCCCTTACCGATTATTTTATCTTCATTGACTAATGGAATCTTCTTCACAATCTCATCTTTAAGATCGTCAAATAGATGGTAGATCACTTGGTGCAATTTAAGTGGAATTTCTTTCTTCTCTGCCAAGTCTACAATTTCAACTGGTGCCGTCACTTGGAACCCAAATACTACCCCTGTAAAATAAAATACTGAATAAAATTGACTTATTGGAATAATTCTATCTTTCTTAAATTCCTATTTCTTTGTAATCTCCCTTTTTAACGAGATAAATCCCTTAAAAACATGGATGGTTTTTTATGTAAAATAAACAGAAATATAAAAAAAATTCTTTAAAATATTACAGTACATACATCCAAGCATTTCTGCGAAAGAAGTAGCAGATAAATTGAGGATAAAAATAATTCATCTCAAGATATTAAGGGATTTTAATACAATCTTACAATATTTTGTATCTTTGCTTTGTCCAATGGGAATAATCATAGAAAATCTTACACAAGAGTGCCACTGACATAAACTAAAACAAGGCTATCAGCACTGTAGGACATCATTAACATAAAAGAAACTGTGTGAAGTGGGGTTCAAATTTACCAGTAAGATTGAAATGTCTTTATAGAAAGCAATACCAGGCCTGCTAGATTTTTATTTCGCATTTTCTAACTTGAGCCTCAGATTTGTGAGCACAAACGCCCAAATTAACAACTCCAGCCACAAATTAATTGCCGCAAGCACAGTGTTTCATTACACAAACCATTTATCCTCTTATGTACCAGTTTGTCAAGAATGCATTGCTGCTTTATAAAAAGAACCCTTAGGTGGCCTATGTATACAGCAAGAGATCTGGATGAACACTGGCCAAATTGTTTGTGTAAAGAAGTGCTTAGCTTACAGCGAGTAATTCTATGTTGGAGTACGTAGTTAGTTTGTGGCTAGAGTCGTTTGTGTGCATTTGTGCTCCCAAATCTAAGGCTCCTGTTAGAAAACGGCCATTATCGTTAATCAGATCTGAATGCAAAAATGACACTCAATGCATGAGTTTATACTGTACTGTAATAGGCTATAATTCTACACAACATATGAAAAAACAAGCAGGAAAATAGTTCTTAATAATTTTTTGCCAGAATTTAATTCTTGCCATCCTGCACTTGCTAGTCTGCCATTAAATTTGAGCTCACTCTCCTCAAACACTTGTTTGATATCATAATAAGCCTTTGGCTATCTTTGATGATCTTTTATAAACATAGTAGAGATCCTAAAAAAAATCACCATTGAATGTCTCTGCCATTTCCAAGTCTCTCAGGGTGATATCACCAACACCAGAGTGAATTATCTTGATGGGACAGAGGTGTTCTAGCTGATATCCACCAAAAGAGGACAGAAGAGTCTCCACAGAACCAGCAACATCTCCTTCAGAAATAAAATAAAGGTGTATTTACAAAAAGAATATGAAATATAAGTGGGCCACCCTGGGCCTGTTGGAATGGTAGCATGAGGAAAGTTTATGGCTAAGGATGTAAAGGCCACACTGATTTAATTTTATGGATGACATCCACAGATATTTAATTTTACTTGTTCTAAAAAAAAACCATCTCCTTGGAACTGGAATTGACTGCTCTCACCATCTGTGCTCATTCAAATAACATGAAAGCCTGGGTTGTCTCAAAACTGCAAAACCCTTTTGAATTTGTTGTAAAATGATCCTCCTGTACATGCATATTGCCATCAAAAGTAGATGGTAAATGCATCATTGTCTCTCTAGAATTATCCTTGTCATTGTCAAAATACATAAGCATAAAAGTTCACAAAAAGCAAAATGATGGGCGATAGCAAGCAACTATCATCCAAGGGCATCCCATCCAGATAAGAAACACGAGGTGAGTTCTATATATGGCAGCTGTAAAGTAAGTCATTCCACTCTCCAGTTTGGTTGCTTAGATTGAAATGGACAAAATGGAAATAACTGCTGTTTTACATATACACTGAGAAAAATCAAATGACTGGTGACTTTTCAGTGTTCACAGCACCAGTAAAGATGTCTTGTTTGTGTTCCATGTTTGAATTTGTGTTTCCAGTTGTGTATTTCCTTTCTTTTCTTTAGAAGCATTTTTTTCGCCCTCTGGCATTAGTTTTGGGGTCTCCAGAGGATGTCATCCATAAAATTAGAACAGTGTGAGAGGGTGGCAGTATCCATTTACTCAAAGCTAAGGTAATTTAACAACTACCAAATTAAATGACAAACATATATATAACAAAATAAATAAATAAGGAAAAAGTTGATCTCAAAGTGTGTGCACTTTGTGAAACAATAAATACTTTCTAAAAAGAGAAGTGATACAGCTCCATTTTCAAGTGTATTCCAGTTGGGATATAAATATCTATGTATCTATCTATCTATCCTCTTTTGCCATACAAATGTAATGAAAGTATTTACCTTTGACAACAAGGTTTAAGCTTGGACCGCTGTCTATCCAATAAGATTGTTTCTTTTTTAAGTGTGCAAATTCTTCCAAATTATGGACAAGTCCATATGTATATCTTCCCATCTCAAGACGTTTCTGCAGCTTTACACTATGGCTATCTCTGTGTTCCTGTCTTTTCAAGTTAAGGTCTCGATGCATTTGGAGAGTTTCATCCTTACTCAAATGTTCTTGATTCCATTCCACTATGCTTAGTGCTTCTTTCTTTAAAAAAGGAATTAAAAAATCAAATTGATAAAAAGCTACAGTTTTTATTTTTTTCCCCACCAAAATGATAAATTTAAGGGTTAAAACTATTGACTTTTGTGTCCAAGGAAAGGGTTCAGTCAGTGAGCTGTCTTGTTGATACTTGGATGGCCTATTTTACAGCAGGACAGATAGTTATAATTCTCACTTACCCCCACCCTCAGGGATTTGAATGTGTGAAATGGTGTGGGTAAATATTTTACTTGATGCTCAGAGGTGTGAATGGATGTAGCAGAAATATTGGTATTGGTTTGAAAGGGGAAAGGGCCCATGAACATCCCTGATGATAGATTCATTATTCTCCAAAGGTTCAATTCCTTCAATTACTACTATATTGATCCTGCTCCTGGTTGTATTTATTGAATGTAAAGGTTTCTGATTGATCAATGATTGATGGTTAGGTAAGTGTCAGAAGTTACTGACAAACAAGAGCTTTTGATTCAGGCCACAGTTTGACCGAGGTGCACATCTTTAATTTTACCTGCCCAATGGTTATCAAATCAGTTTATTTTGAACAGAAATTTAAAATAATGGTGAATTATAATAACATTTCAAAATTTAAGATTTATTTTCTCAACATAAAGCTTTATATTTGAAAATTTTCATAACTTATCATCCATCAAAATGGAACAAATAGCTCTACAAAGAACCAGGACTACAAAGTATCTTTTTGCACTCCTCACCTCTGAGTTGGTTCCAATGACCTCTGCCCCAGCTTCAGGCAGCTCCTTCCATCCCACCACCTGGACAGGCATCGACAAGGATGTCTCTCTGATGGGCTGCTGTCTGTGATCTAACATGTAACGCACCTATCAGAAATATTTGACCTTCAAGTTTAGAAGAGTTTGTCACTTAGAAGAACTAAAGAGATGGCATACAAAAAACAACATATAAAATAAAAAGAAAATGGATAAAATAGCTGAAATTTCTAAATAAATAGCATATATATACTGAAACAAGTTTAAGGAAATGGTAGTTATCATTTAATTGACATGACTGCAATTGTATAAAAATCTGTGAAAGAAGATCATCATTTTAGTTCATATCGCTGGAGGTTATCTTTATCAACAAGAACCTCTTCTCACCTTCCCCCAACACTTTCCTGCCACCAGATACCCCCCTGGTTTCAACACCCCTCTTTGAATAAGCACAGTAGCAATTTTGCTGAAAAAATAATATAAGCTCTCATTAACATGTTAATTTCAATTTAAGAAGTGCTAGTGCAAACAGTGGTACAAAAGATCCTTTTTAAATGTCAAATTCAACCAATTATGAATAAAATGAATACGATAAAAAACATGAACGAATTATAATTAGATGTAATTTAAATAAAAGTTTCATTGGACAAGTAACTAATTTAACTGGAAAAAAATTTGTTCTTTAGTTAAAATATTCACACTTTTTTCACATCCTGTTGACAGTTCTGTTTAGTTATCACTTTAGTTATGCACTTGTTATCAACAGTGTGTGCATTTAACTAGAAGAAATCACAATCAGGATGTCAAAAAAGTAAGAATCTAAACTCTAAATACTTTAAGGTATAACTTTTCTACTAGAATTCCAACTTGGGACATGAATTCCACAATAATATGAAGGTGCTCATCTATTTGAATTGAACTGATTCATACCAAGGATTCAACTGGAGTACTTACCCCCTCTGAGGATCCACATTAGACTCAATTACTATCCCCTCTACTAGGCCCGTGGGGTCACCTTTCAATTCCATAATCTCGGACTCGACCAGGATAGCTTCTTGCAATTTGTCCAGATTTATTTTCTGAATGAAGATCATATGCACAATTAAACTTACAGATACATTTTCTGAATGAGGGGAAAAGTTTATTTTGTGTTCCTTTTAGAAAAAATAAACCTATAAACCACACAAGACTCAAAATATGGAGCCGTAAATTCTTTAACTGAATACAGGCATGAAAATAAGTGTTAACATGTGAATATTTTCCTTGACTTGTCCATTTATATAAGGCACTAGAACACCATGGTTTAGCAGTTGCAGAGATTAATGTGATACTGATAACTCTGAGCCACAGCTGAGGTAAAGTCAATGCCTCTGCTATTGTGTTTCTGTTACCTTAAGTGCTGAGATAGGTACAAACTGTGTATCTCCCTTAAATTCTTCTGACACTAAACCATGTTCTGAAAGCATGTTTTTTGTTGCTTCCTACAAAAAATAAATGGAAAAATAAATATAACTTAATAAAGTCATCTCCTCTTCATATATTCTTATGGTTGTGTATTTTTATCAATTATTGAATAATTAAAATGCATTTTATGATTTGTAAATTATCTAAAAACACAGATATAGGTGTGTGTGTGTGCAGGCATATTTGCTATATGCTGACATCTGTAATACCAAGAACTAACAAGAAACCTATTCAAAGTTACAATCTATTTTTTTTTTTTTTTTGCATAAAAAAAAACAAAACAAAAAAAAAAACTCACCACATCTGCTGATGGCTTGTCAATTTTGTTTATAGCAACAATGATCGGAACTGAAAAAAAAATAAATAAATAAACACATCAACTGCATTTTTGAAATGACTGAAAAAAAAAATTTTTTAATTCAATAACATTATATTGTACATCATATCTGTTGCAAAAATAATGTAGAACTCGATTAATCTGAATTCTGCGATTGTATTTTCTCTTAATTTCCAAGTTTATGTTGAAATCCTCCTACCTTTAGCCTCCTTAGCATACATAATGGACTCTATGGTTTGTTCCATGACTCCATCTTCAGCAGCCACAACCAGAACAACAATATCAGTCACCATGGCTCCACGTGCACGCATTTTTGCAAATGCTGCATGTCCAGGAGTGTCAAGAAAAGTGATAACATCACCAGACGAAACAGTTACTATATTAAAGAAAATACAAAACAAAAAATAAAGTTTTCATGGTAAGGCAGTCCAAAGTTTCGAAATTTCTAAAAATAATTTTCCATCCTCAGTCTTCTTTTTCATAATAAAGGTTAATGAGGAATAATGATGGTTGGGTTTGATTCTCCAAATTACCTTGAAAAGCACCAATATGCTGTGTTATTCCTCCAAACTCCTGAGCTACAACATTAGTATTTCTTAAAGCATCTAGAAGAGTGGTCTTTCCATGATCCACATGTCCCATTATGGTGACCACAGGTGCTCGCTTGACCAGAACAGCAGGGTCTGGAGGGGGTCTAAGAGAAAAATTCAAACACAAATACCCAAGAATTTTTTTTTCATATTCTGTAATATCTTAATATTACAATTTTTTTTTATTTTCAAAACTTCGGGTGTAATATTTAGGATTGCTTTTATATCAATGTTAATGCCATGTTCTTTAATAATAAATAACTACTGATTATCAGTTTTCTGAAGATTTACACATCATTAAACAATGCAAGGTGACGTGTAGGTAATTTCTGAAGTCATTTATCAAGAGATTGACTTCAACAGTCATGTGTTGCAATCAGAGGAAGAAAAAAATTAAAACAAAAAACAAACACTTATTAATAAGTACTCTTATTCAGACATTGTACATAAAAACATAACCATTTATTTACATTAAGTGTATTATATACTGGTTTTGTTCAGTATTAGATCAGGCTTCTACTTGTGAAAATGTTATCATTCCCTTGCTAATCTACATTAGCATTTTTATGATACAAATACATGTAAAATGTTTAATTGTTTCAGTGAATGACAGGTAAAAGAACATACCTCCTGTTTATACCTTTATCCTGTGGGGTGACTGCTTTGAAGCCTAAGTGCTCAATTATCTTTTTCAAATCCTCGATAGATTCAACCACTTGAAACAAATGTTGACAAAATAAATGAAACTCGTTTTCAAATAGATGTACTCTTTATCATTTAACCTCAAAGATAAGTCATTAAATCTACACAGTGATTCTCAAAATATGCCTACTGATGATTTGAATAAAGAATTAATTTTTTGAAGTGCAACTCATTACATTAATATATTTTAGAGTATAAGGGGGCATACTTACTGTGATCTGCATCACAATTGAAATGCTTCTTTTTCTGATGTTTTATTGCTTTGAGTGCATTCTTAACTGAAGCTTAAAAACACAAAAATGTAAATCAATCAATATGATTATACATGGTAAATATCTCACTGAAAAAAATGAAAGCACTTTTCAACAGTAAATTACTGAATTTTGAATCTTTTTGGTAATAAGAATGAAAAAGACATAAGAAAATCACTGTTCTCTTTAATTTGACAGTATTTTAAGACATGATTTCACCATGTTTAAGGTAGTCAGAGGAGTTGTTGAAATATTTAAATGTTGGTACCCTTGCTAACTTTTAATTAAAACAACACACATTCGGGCTTAAGTCACCTTTATTCCTACACCTCTAATACTACTGTAAACTACTGAGCAAAGGCACAAGATACATGTAATACAATTAAAAGGCCCAGTGTCTTTGGCACGAGAACTTCCAGAGGGGAAAAAAAAATTAATGCAGGTAATACATTGCACAGTAGGTTCATTTTTTATTTGTTTCAAATTGTGCTAAATGTTTATAACTGCAAAATTGTTGAAAGACCAGGATATATCATGTAACATATTGATGTAAACCCACAAAAAATTAGTAAGTATTAAACAATCTACCTAATTTCATCTGAGTTGCTTCACATATATCATGCAATGTCATTCTCCCGTCACTAGCAACTGTTACAGTTTGAATTTGAACTGGCTCCTTAAATTCTGGTTTGGGCTGTGCCTCCATATTCTTCTTAGTTATGTCATTAGACCCTCGTGCCTTCTTCCAATGCATGGATTCTGAAGGTTGCCCGTCTTCAAACTTACTTTTTCTCCACTGCAATGACAAAGGGTGATCTAGGATATATTCTCTAGATAATTACTTTCAATGCTAGTATTTTCTACATGAAGGAATTCCATGCATAGAGGCTTAAAAGCGATTTTACAACAGTCTGAGCAATTCCAAAGGATAAACAGAACATAAAATACATTACCTTAAGAATATTTCTTTTTGCCTTTTCAAATTGTTCACCTTCTAAGTTATTTAAAGCTGAGTAATTGTTCTTCTTCGTCTGAAGCAAAATAGTAAGAAAACATCATGAACAGAAATGAATGTAATAGAATACAGACAAATAAATCTTAAAATTGAATTTAAACACAAAACCCATAAATCCCTTCATTTCATTATCCTATGTTTACATAACAAATAACAAACACTCTTAAATACTTGTATTGATCGCTGAACATAATTGTATAAAACCATTTTAGAGACAGAATATTGCCTTCTACTTACAAGCAATGAAAAGAAAAACCCTAAAGTATTATACCTTTTCAAGACAACATATTCAAATTAAAACTAGACAGCAAAGCTGGCAAATATACAGACACCATACAGGAAATAAAGCAGTTATTGTCAAATGTTCAGACGTTATGCAGAAAAAAATTGCACAAAAACATGTTTTGGCCAGTTTTGATGCACTGTTACAATGTTTTACAGCAGCATAATCACTCTTACCCTCTCACATTATGTACTACAGATACCATGGACATCGAAAAACTAGAAAGTGATTCAATTCCATAGAATGTGTGAAAAATGAAAATTTCAGAAAAATAACTAACTAAATAAAAATAAATAAATATCAGAATAATTACCATAAATGTAAATTGATCATGCTGATTTTCAAAAGCAACCTGCCTCTTAACCGAACAAAGCTACTCAGTAATTTTTAAGTAATAAAAAAAAACAGTTTGGAAGTTATGGGGCGTCATCAAAATTATCGAAAAAAAAAACAACAATTATCGTAAATCATAAAATTTTGAATGCAACCTGCCTTTTGAACAAAAAAAAAAAAAAAGCCACTTGGTAAATTTAAAGTAAAACAAAAATATGGTTTGGCAGTTATGAGGCAAATGACAGCGACGGTGACAGCAACAACATGGACAGACAGATCAATTAGAAGTTATACAGACACTGTCAGTGTGTGTGTGTGTGTGTGTGTGTGTGTGTGTGTGTGTGTGTGTGTGTGTGTGTGTGTGTGTGTGTGTGTGTGTGTGTGTGTGTGTGTGTGTGTGTGTATAAACTGATGCTCGTTTAAAAGTTTTGAATTAGTTCTATGCAGCAAACCAAACATTCCTTACCCCCTTTTTAAAATTATATGATTTTGTTGATAGCTCTCTTCTTGGTGTTTTTCCAGTGCATACATTTGGCACGACAGAATAGGATTTGGGAGGGTAGTTCCCATTTGACAAGCAAAATGTGCACGTGCTAAGAGCCCTTAAACTTGATAAAGGAGCCAATTCAAAAATACTATGGTTTTGGAACAGGTCTCTACATGGTGACATATTACAACCACTCCTTTGTCCAACAAGTCCGAGTAAATTCTTTCTGTTAAGACTCCACAGCTTCTTCATATTGGCCATTAAAATCTCTCCTGCATTCAAAACTGGATCTACAGAAGAAAAAAAAAGATATTATTAAAAAGTATGCTGCTCACAGAAAAGCATAACCATGGAAAGTGTGCAATAACTTCAGAAATTACAGAAATCTAACCTTGATTTTGCTCTAAAAATAAAGATCTGCAAACTTGTGTAGAGAGCATTTTAATTGCTATACAAATCAGAAACTTGGATCGTAATTAGGAAGTAGAAAAACGGTATGGTACTGTTGTTACACACAACTATTACAAAGAGTATTAAATTTATATCAGCTGAAAAGACCATATCTCTAACACAAAGGTAATACAGGTCCCTTGTATCTGGTAAACAGAAAATGAACCCTACATATATATATATATATATATATATATATATATATATATATATATATATATATATATATATATATATATAGTTTGTTGGGTACTCTGCCTGATTATTAGACCAACAAGTATTTAACCTTGAATTCTAGACATAATTATACTTCTGGTGGAAAGGCTAACTTTGGCAGATCCAATAAAACATATTTAGCATGAAATTTATGCGTTAGCACTCCTATTGATGTTTTTTATATGTATATGCTGTATTAACACATGAAGCAAAGGTCTCAAAAAGAGTAAAATGATGACCAGTTAAACTCACACTCCTGTAAAGCCAACCCGTTCCCCATCAAAAGTACTGCCTGGCGGCCAGTAAGACAAGATTTATGTACTTGTTTACCAGTTTGCCATAGGTAGTATGGAATCATACACATGAGGGGAGGGCAAGTGGTCGATTCAAACAGACTTCTTCTTGCAAGAAATTAAAGAAAAAAAGTTTAACAAACAAAAACAAACTCTCAAATAATCACATTGCTCATGGGCCTTATATTGTACTCGATTTTATGCAATAAGTTGCTTCCTGTTGGGAAAAAAACTGCGTAAAACTTAATTTTCTTCAGGTACTTCACGGCGGTAGACAAGCAGAAAAATTTACCTTACTCGTGGCTCTGTCGACTGGAAAACTGGTTGGCTTTACAGGAGTGTGCCAGTTGAGAAGTAAAGTTGAGAGCTCTTGCATCATGGTGGATATGCAAATTGGTCGTCATTTTACACTTTTGAGGACTTTATTTTCATGTGTTAGCACAGCTTACATGTCAAAAATTGATAGGAGTGCTAACACATGAATCTCGATCTAACACTCGCCCTGATAAATCAAATGATATGGTCTGAAACCTAATGAGCTACTAGGAATTATGTGGTAAAAGCAACTCCAGTTTGAGTATGTTGTTAACGATGTTGCAGCTTCATGGGCCTACGTGCGTTATGCAAGCAGCTGTCATTCCGAGTCTGAGGAGAAAAATTCGTTATTTTCAAGATTCCGATTATTAACTTAATATAGCAATTACACTCACCCTAATGCTTTATCTTTATTAAAATCGCATTGCTTAAACATCCCAAAGACTACGGTAAAGTTTAAACGTTACGTGCCAGGGGAATCCAAGGGATGTACATCATGCTAGACTAGTGCCAGTGCTATTGCGACTTGCCAGGAGAAACCCTAAAGTTTGGTTTGCTCAGTGGTAATCCTATGCCTAGTTTGCTGATGGAAGCTGCCATTACTAAAACGTAATTGATAGACACGCATGTGTTCTGTTGAAATAATGAACATGCAACAACTGCCCTTCTCAAAATTTTCCAAGAGACATGGGCTAAATAAATTTAAAATTATTTTTACGCTTAATAAATATATTATAATTCATTTTACTTGAAAAAATAATGTATTCTTTCTAAGAAGGTCAATGTATCTCCACGCGCTGTATATACTGCCTTAATGCGCACCCCTGGATTTCCGGCCGTAGGGCATTGTGGGATAGAGCAACTGCAAAACAGAAACTTTGGACGGCTGCCGGGAGGCTTCGTTTTTATCGATATTTTGCACAATCTGTAGCAATGGCTGCTGCAGAAGCAAGCCAGTCTGGTAGTCAGGACCCTGATATGGTCACACACGAGCTTGGTGATGGTAAGTTTTGTCTACTTGCACTAAGTGCACGCTACAAAGTTTTAGGTCACTCGCAGCTGCTCGGTGCCACATAAAGTTATCTCATCGACGTGATCATTCCCTTTGTCGCTTGTGAATTGTTTACATTGTAGTTCATTGTGATAAGTTTGGAAAATAAAATATACCCAATATTGCTTTCAAAAAGTATTGATGTGTTAAATTTTAGGATTTTTTATTTGTGCTTACAGTCTTTAATTTACCTTAGCACCACATAGTTGTTATTGTTAAAGCTTATAACGACCAATATACAGGGATTTGGAATGTAGATCTAATTTGCAAAGCAAGTACAATTTATTTTGCACTTGGTTCATTTACACAAAAGATGAACTAAGCTTTTCTATTTCCTCGCTAACTTTCGTGTTTTAACATATATATATTCAAAAGTGTTTGTTTTTACTATTGAATATCTTTTGCAAGAGGTGTTTTGGAAAAATGTTTACAACCAGTTTATAAGATTTTTATGTAGTAGCATGAGACCTGGAAAAAAAATGCTAAATCACTTGTAATAGCGAAGGCATGGTTTAGAAAAGAGCACAAATTTTGAAAAACTATGAACAGGAATATCACATAGTGTCCTTCAAATCGCTTTTCTTTCAGTATTTGAAAGTGAGATTTCAGAAGAAAAAATGTGTTCCTCTTTTTGAGAACTTTTTTTGTTAGATGATAAACCATGAGAGGGAGTTTAAGTTTACTTGAGCACATAGGATATTTTAACTGCATGTCTTTTTCTTTTTAAAAATTAAGTTACCAGGTGAAATATGTTCTATCATATGATTGGAAATTGAGAGGTTTAGAATTAAAAATTGATTTTTTGGTTTTTTATGTCTTTCAGATTAATTCTGTCTGTTGAAAAAAGTGTTGATTGATGTTTATGACACGAATAAGTGTAAAAGTACCGTTGCCATGGCATGCAAATAATGTAATTTTCTTTGAAATTGATACTATTGTCATTTTATTGTTTATTATAACTGTCAATCATTGTTGCACGTTATAAAGGAAAAGGTCAAAGACAAAATTAGCCTAGCATTATGTCTCTTACTGTTCCCTATTTTGTAAAATAGACCATGGTCTTGTAAAGTTTGTTGCACTTTAGATATCAATGGCCAGTCTGATTATGGTGACAGAGTGGCTATCATGAGAAGTAATTCACACTTTGTCCTTTCTCAGTAACATAATGTACATACACCTTTCATGTGCATGACATAAAAACCATATGATCCATCAGCTTACAGTCATGCTGCTTGGAGATTTTTGTTGCAGGGTATTGAAATGGGGGAAAGTAGGTTACTTTTAATAAGTAAGACACTGTTCTGATTACATTATGGCTTGATTGTCACTGAGTCAAAATATCAGAGTTTGTTTTATGGGGAGATGAGCCCGTCTAGTCTTTGCTTGGGATATTTGAGCAATTGTATTGTGCCATTGTCCCTAGAACAGCAAACTTGTTGCATGGTTTTGCTGTTGGTTTCTGTGAATCTGGATGGGAATCATACAGTATAGCCTGAAGTTTCACGACTCAACATAAAATCAGGCAAGATTTCATAGGATTTGGATAGAGTAAGGTTAGAAATTATGGCAGGCTAGAAAGTGTGGTTCAACAATGAATAAAAACTGACAGAATTTAACCATGGATAATGTTTTGCTTATTTTCTTTCCTCCAAATCTTGTAATTGCTTGGAAGTTGGATCCCATTCCCATAGACATGCCATTGGTGTATATGAATCAACCAAACTCTGCGGGTGGTTGTGCTAAGTGCAATCAACTTAACTGTATGACACTCCTAATGTTTCCAACATACTCGTGTATTCACCAGCTTTTCTGTTTTCTACTTAATACCAGAAAGAGGATGGTTAATATGCTAAGCGAACTGCACTCAGTGCGTATCCTGGCAGAGTCGGGTGGATCCGTGTAGACCTACAGCATATATGCCTTTGGGAATGGGACCTCAGTCTTAAGACTGTGCGATCCCATTAAATCTCATGCCAAGCAGTATGTGTTAAAAAAATGTTATCTCACTATCTACTTGGATAGTAAGGTACTAAGTTCAGATATCACATCTTGTCTGGCAATGTGTTTTCCGACAGTGCCAGTGGAGCCAATTGCATTTTAAACTTGGACTTTTTTGTTCAACATGTTTATTCTATGCTTGCACAAGCACATATATTGCATTTTACCATATGCGATAAACTGCTTTGTTTCACCAAAGTTGATTATTTTATTCTATTTTTTTATAAATGTTTTCGTCTTCAATTTTTATTTGAATTATCTGCACTTTATTACTAATCACATCTGATGCTGGAATGATCTTTTTTTGAACTGCAAATGGTGACAGCTTCTAAGGCAGAGTTAGCCCTGCAGCAATCTTTCCTTGTTGATTCTGGATTGGTCGGCAAATACACCAAGCAAAGACAGACTGACCAAAATGACCAAGAACTTTATTTCTTTGCAATTCTCTTAGTTTCTGTAGCCTTCTTGAGTTATTTTATATCTTTGAGTGAAAAGGAGCATATCAGTATAGGCAAAGAATAAGCTCCATTTACTGACCAGTTGGTACAGGTGGTGCCCCAGGACACACGCTGTGGCCCAGTGTGACAAAGCACCTGTTCCCTTGTTCCAAGTTCACCTGGTCATCTTGTAAAGGCCACTGCTGCTTCGCCTCACTGCTGAACTTATAAGCTAGCTTGGCATGCTTTATGTGTAAGTTTGGTGTATTGCTCTTGGGGGTACTAAGTATTTATTGCTTCAAAATGATGTTCATATAACTGTTTTGTTGAAAGTTTAGTGGATTTTAACATGACAAATTAATAGTCCTGATCTGTGATTGGGAATGTGTGTCTGTCTGAGCACAGTTTATATTATTCTTTTTATGCTAAAGAAGTTTCTCTCAGTATGAAGTAGTTGATAGTGATAGTATAAGTTAAGCCCTTTACATAGAAACTGTTAACCAAAGTTTTTTGTGCTCCCTGATTTACTTAGTTAGGAAGGTATAAAGAAGGCATACATCTGGTTTATTAGATACAGAAAACTATGGTAAGAAATATGGTAATGTTTTGTTTTATTCATCCTATTGGTTATCTGTTGTGATTTTAAGGATATCATAAAGGAAATTATAGGTTTGGCATAATGATTGCATTGACTCTAGTGCGCTGTCATTTCTTTTGTTGTGGTTACACTTAACCAGGTGCTACTGAATTATACAAATGCTAGCTGTATTTAGGCTAGTTGACAAATGCTGTAGCTTCCTTCCTTTCAACTTATCTCTATGGGAAGAATTTGCATGTTGGGTTTTGGAGCTTTGGAAAGGGAACAGGTGTACTACTATTTGCGCATACTGTTTAAATATGTTTAAATGATATGGTAACTGAACTTGTTTTTTTTTTGTTAGAATTGCACATGATTTTACTGCATTTTGTTTTTAAAAGGTGTATATTGTATAAACAATAAAATTTAAAGGCAACCTCCATTTAGGTTAGATGTAAGACCAAGCTAGAGAAAAGAATACTTTGCATTGGTCATTGCTGAGAACCTGTCTCAGGCCAATGATTTTGTTCCCCCCCCTCACTTAGCCCCCTGGAAAACCAACCAACCAAACAAAAAACAAATATGCAACACATAATTAGAACCACATTTCCACCAGTAGATCTTGCACTATCTTTAATATCTAGCTCTTCTACTTCTACTTTCAGTTAACATGGATGGCCAAGGAAGGGTCAGCATGCATGACTTTGAGCTGTTAAAGGTGCTAGGAACTGGAGGTGAGGACCTAATTTTGTCCATACATTAAGGATGTGGCTAAGGTCACAGTGCAATGCCCTGAAATCATGATTGGTCATTATTATACTACACTCTGGGGTAGTGCTAGCAATTTTTTTTTGCTTAGCCAAATCAGCACATTTTTGTCAATTTGTTATCAAAATGGTTAGAATTTGGCTAAAACAAGTCAAATTCAGCCCTTTTTCTTTAGCCAATTTAAGTCAGTTTTAGCATTTGGCTAAATTGGCGAGTGTTAGCGCTACCCCAGACACTGTAACATGCTGTGCTGACTGACTGTTGAAAGAAATTATGTATAGGAAAGTTAAATGTGCTGTTAAGAGATCAATCACAGGCTTTTATTTTCACATTCATGCAGTATTGGGAAAGTTGCAATTTGGTAAATTTCAGAAAAGCAGATGTGCCAGAGAAAGAAACTGAAAAGGTTAAAATGCCATTTTAATCCATTTTCCACTTTGCTCCATTTTAGCTTATGGCAAAGTATTCCTAGTCAAAAAAATTCGTGGAGGGGATAAGGAGAGGTTATATGCCATGAAAGTATTGAAAAAAGCCAGCATTGTACAGAAAACAAAGACCACAGAGCACACAAAGACGGAACGCCAGGTCTTAGAAGCCATTCGCCAGTCACCATTCCTGGTCACCCTTCACTATGCATTCCAAACAGATGCCAAGCTTCACCTCATACTTGGTGAGTTGAAGAAAAGATGATACCAAAAATACAAACCTTAATATGGTTATTTAAGATATTAAACAAAGTTTCTCCTGAGCTTTAGGTAAGATACATACAGGCTTCTTTATTTCAAACCTCTACATGTTCACACTTATCAAACACCGACACTCATGCTGCTGGTTTGATTGAAGTTTACCTCACCAGTCACAGATGCCCATCCACTCATCCATATTGATTGGTTCTTTTGAAGGGCTTATGATATAGTATATAAACCTTTCAGCATTTGAGATTGACATGGTTAACTTCAATCAAATTGTTGCTCAAATTCAGACGCAAATAGCGGTTTGTGTATGGAAATTTGAAAATGAAGATGCTGGCTTGCATTGGGTCTTAAATTCAGGGTTTACAAAAAAGTTTAATCTTGTTATCACTTAGTCCCCATTCGGAATAGGGGACTAACTAGTCTGAGTGTCGAATATGGCCGACCTACTTGAATACTTCCCCACGGGATATCTATTCAGTGTCTATTGGTGGATTGGATGGTAAGCTTTGTAGTGGGTTGCCATATTTGACCCTCGGACTAGTTAGTCCCCTATTCTGAATGGGGCCTAAGAGACCATTCAGAATGAGAAGAGCTGAGTGCTAGCTAGGCCACAACCTAAATATGGCGGACCTACATGAAAAGAAGACCACTTAATCCTGTAATGACCTCTCCATCTCTCACATGCCTCCTCACGCGTTGTCCCTCGCCCGGTTGAATTGAGCCGAGATTTAATTACTGTGCCCCTGCAGGGTGTCAGTGTGTCAGTACTGAAAATGGGTAGTGTGATCTGATCTACTGGTGAATTCGGGATCATTTGGTGTCGAGTTTGGTAGTTGGATAGGCCTAAAGTCTAGTAGAGAGCATGTGTAGATACAGAAGACAAATTTCATTATACTAGGATGTCTGCCTGTTGCTTAAAAACAGTTAATGTGATATTAAGTGCTACCCTCTTATTTAGAATCACGTAAATGATGTGATACATCCACAATTGTGGACATATGCTCTGGAAGGATATCATCTGTTGCTTGTAGCTTGAGGTCACCGGACAAATGGATAGTGAGAAAGGATTTACTGTTTAATATCCTTTTATGTTTTGTTTTAAACTACTATTTAACAGGTAAAACATATTTTACATTACAGACACAACATAAATTGCCTACAGTTTTTTTACTCGAGAATTACTCACTGAGACTTTAGGCAAGGCATTGTTCATTGTTTAATGAGTATATATCATGCACATGAACTTAAATGACCCAAGTATTTATTCAATATATACTTTATCGGATCCCTCTCTAAACTAGAATTGATGTGGATATGATATGGCTTATTGAATTCACTTTTATACAAAACTTTTGGTTTTTCATTTTCAAGATAATTATACACAATAGATGCTTGACTCTGTGTGTTATGTATAATTAATGGGGCTTGCACAAGGTAGCTGAGGGTAAATTATGGTTGAGTGCAACTTCATTAAAAGCACCAAGACAAGTGAAACATTAACAAGGACATTAATGTGTGAATTTCTTTTTTTTTCAAAGTGTAGTTTAAAACATATACAGTTTGCCTGCAATGAAGGTACTGCTGTGTGAAAGTGCATGTTGATTTGCTGCTGCAGCACATTACTTCCTGTGTAAAACAAAGGAAAGGACAATAGAGGCTGTCCGGGTTCTCAACGAGAAGACCAAATTTCCCCGTGATTTTACGAGATCTGCCTTGAGGTGGGGTTAAAATATGGAGACCACAAGGAAGTAGAGCAGCGATTTCTTTACTTGAAAAATAGCTGAACTTACACATTTTTTTGAGCTACAGGCTTGTTCTTTTTTCACTTTATAAAGAAAAAGTATTGATATAATATGTACGTACAACTGACATGTTGAATTTGCCAAGCTAAGAGCCGATGACGCTTGCAAAGCAAAATTCGCCCGGAGGACGTACTACGCAGCAAAGGTGGCGTTAAACAGGCTACATCAATTACTTGACTGGTCAATTCATGAGATCCGTTTGAACAACAAAAGCTTTATAACTGCAACTAATTTTTCTTTATAAATGTTTTACTATTAAACTTTATTTATAAAGAAGTAAAATAAAATCATTTGACATTTCATTTACTGATGGATGGCATATCAGAACATTAGACTTGCCTGCATCTTTGTTTT